CCCTTCGTCCATCAGCAAGACTTTTATCCGTATTTTTTCGATGTCTAAGCCACAGAGAACGCACAAACTCATCGTTAAAATCTCACATCTTACTGTCGCGAATGAAAGTAAGAGTTCTGTAGAGAGGCTCCGTTCGCAAAAGCCCGCAAAAATGAGAGCCAATAAAATCTCGCTATTTCAGTGATGTAATGATGTAAGGCAAATAACCAATCAAATCCTTTTACACACATCCCTAAAAAAGTCACGTGGTCTTTGAACACGATTATCAACGGTAAATCACAGACGCTCTTCCCGATTTTTTTCTGAGGGGAGGGCGGCTGTACACAGGCTATGAAAATGTGGCATCGATCAGGGAGTTTTACAGAAATTGATAACGCCAACCAGCTTACGAACATCTAACAAAAGTGTCACGAAAACTTACTGTTAGAGGAACTTTTAGGTGTTGTTGGTACTTTTGAAGTTGTTCCTTCGTCATCACGTGTCCCATCTATAGAACTCACTGTAAACTCTCCAAGCTTCCCATCTTTGACAGCCTTACGAAGTTCTGTAATCACATCTATTTCCTTTGTGGTGGAATTAAAATTCAGTGCCAGGTCAACTTTTAAACTGCCACACCTAAAGGTAGACAAGGGCTCAGGGTTTGCGCAAAGTAGAAATGTAGTTCAGCCAAGAAAATTAAAAAAACTTACAAAACAGAGAAGTCAGAGTAACTGATCCAAACAGTTTACAAACCTGACGTTATTTAACTTCATCTTTAGGAGACCAAATTTATCTGCAAGGACATCATTGAACTAAAAGTTGACAGAAAAGGCAAAAATTAAACTGAGGATTTGATCTGGTTTATTTCACGCCAGTGCAGAGCATGCAAAGCCTGCGCGTGGAGGAGTGAAAGATTACGAGACAAAATTAGATCAATGAATGACAGCTGGAGGGCAGTGCTACAGGGCTTCAAACGGGGCGCGGAAAATTAGATTAAAACTGATTTATGCGAGATAAACATGGATTGCGCGGAAATGTGCAGGATTATGCAATAGTTCTGGTTAACCCTTTCACTGCCAAGATCTCAATAGCAATTCTCCTTACTGTCTGCCATACATTTCCTATGAAGTTAGTTTGGAGAATTTGGTATTGAATCAACTGATAATCCCCCGATTTTCTTTATTCCTTATTCTCATTACTAGTCTGGTTGATATAGTATTGATATTGCAAGGATAAATTGTCTTGATCACTGAAAGAGTTGATAGAAACCAACAAATAAATAATTAATCAAATAAAGCAAGAACAAAACATAAGTGGAGTACTAAGAGCTACGTGTTTTTCATTGAGCTAGTTGCAATTGTTTGTTTCTTTTTATCAGTGTCACCGTGAAAAGTTTGTCCACCGTAATATGCACATGTCTATAGTTGTGAAATCCGTTCAGAAAGGCTTACCAGACTTCATTACTAGCACATCTTGTTGTTCATTTGTTAGATTGAAGTTACAAAGAGTCTTCTTACATTACATTATTTTAGCGAATGGGCCATCGCTGGAAAACCGACTCTTGCAGTGAGTCGCCTTGTTCCACTTCAAATCTCCAAGTAGTCTACACAACTGGTGCTTTAAAATTTTTTTGGGTGGTAACCATTACAAGCAACAGGTATTTCCAAAAATGTAGAAAGTTCAATCTTCTAAAACACCTTCTACAAGAACAGTTTTTGTAAATCAGAAACCATAGTTTTCATCGCTACCCTCACAAAAAGATCTCAAAAATTTACTATTCCAATTAGTAATTTTAATTAGTTGACCCAGCTTTAAAAACTGTGTTCAAATGTAACTTTTCGATATTTCAGAATTAAATCCATATAGTGGGAACCAAAATGCGCGGTTCACAATGAGATGTCGCTTTGAGAAGAAGCCTCCTGGATTTTCTCTTTGCACGCACTCCAGTTTAAACGTTCTGAAAGCAGCTAGGTAGCGAGCTAGAATGTGATACAAATGGTGGAACAGAGAATTAACTCTGAAGCGTAAATTAAAGTGCTAAGTGAAACCCGTGAAAAACCCACCGGGCGTTAGCCCTTGTAAAGGGTACTAGGGAACCACACGAGGAAAAGAAAAAATTCTTATGACCTCGGTTTTTCATGGGTTTTACTTAGCACTTTAATTCACGTTTCAGAGTTAATTCTCTGTTCCACCATTTATGTTCATAGTGCTACGCGGCACAACATTTATAGAATGTGATACAGATCGTTCCATAATATTCAAATTACACAGTAGCAACCTCATAGTCGAATAGTTTTGCCAGATTTGACAATAATTTTGGAAACGTTATGTTACTCTTTGGAACTCAAAACGCAGTTTGTCATAGTTTAGTGGGATAACAATTATACAGTTTGAGGGGTAAACTTCTTCTTTGAAGGGGAATAGAAACCATATAACTCTAATTTAGCCTTTGATATACATAAGTAAAACTATTCTCGTGTTTTGAGATCATACAAAGTAACCTGACCTTTCGAAATCTAAAATATTATGCTTAAACGGAAACTGCCTCTTTCAAATATTGTCCATTAAACATGCGCTCACTTCAAGTGAGCGCATGTTTAATGGAAAATACGCAACGCAATGGACAGTGTAACGCAATAAACATCTTCAACTCTTAAAATCTGTGACTTTTGTGATGACCACAACAGCACCTGCTTATAAACCGCGCGATGTGGTTTTGCGCGTGCAGCCAAGTTACTGAGTTGTTTCCAAAATGGTGGCGTCGACAATCGTACAGAGAACGTATTCATCCTTTCAAGCGAAGTATTCAAATGCATGTTAAGTTGTATACATAGAAGATAACAAAGTGATTACCGTTTTATTCAGTTTCCCGAGCAGCGTGGATCGGTCGTATTCTCCATCGGTACAACTTTCACTTGTGATGACTAGGGTGATATTGATCACGGTTCCTCCAATGACTGTAACATGATGATAAAAAGTTTATAACCAAATCAGGAAATGAGTGTACATATACAATCATACAAAGAAATATGAAAGAACAAGCAACACTCTTCGACGGGAAACCTTGTCTCACAAAATCATTTTAATAACACGGTTCAGTGCCTTATTTTACCCAGTACAGTGACACCACTTGAAAAAATAAACAAACAAACAAACAAACAAATAGATAGACAAAGAAACAAGCAATATAAAAAAAAAATAACATCCTTTGTATGTATAACCCAGAAAAAGACCAAATCAGTTGTAATACTACGTTAACATTGAGAGTACAATGTAAATGTACACTAGTCAGGAGAGCAAAAAAAAAACAAAAACCAACAGCTAGGTAACTAAGGACTAGCACTGTTAAAACATATATGATTAAACTGTCACTAAAATAAAGACAGCAAGACAGGGCTTTTCATTAAATAATACTGTAAAAGAACCAGTAAAGTTGACTAACAACAAACAATCAAAACTCAAATTGAAAGAAACCACAGCTGAGAAAACACGTTAGACATAAAAAAATAATTGTGTGAAAAGATTCATTTAAAACAGATGTGAACAGAAACAAGCTCCATCTTTAAAAGTAGTGGTAGTGAAATTTGATGATTTTAATTTCCTTCTAGGCTCCATTTTTAAATGCGCGAAAAACTGCAATTGTTGCTGTAATCACAATCGTGGGTTCCTTGCAGTGTGACCAATCTTAATAACATGGTCATTTACACAGTTTTGAACAATCCAAGAAATTGAAAACTAGGTTTCCACCTGAAATCTCCAAGGCAACTCCAGTCACTACTTACTAAGCATCAAAACAAAGACGTTAAATTTTGAACAAAATATTGTTAATTACAGCCAGATGGGAGATGTAAATGTAGATGTAGCCAGAGCTGGCCCTGAACAAGAGTGAAAAGGACATGCTGATAGTGTCAACATACATTACAATGTACTTTTTGGCTACTAATCATTCAAAGTTAACCTCTTCGTTTTAACGCAGAACCTTTTTGAGTATGCTTGATCTGCTTTGACCAACAAATAAATTTCTTTTTTCTAAATTTGAACAGTACTTATACAAATGGATAAATCTATGACACATATAAAGTAGGTAAATATGTATTTAACCCCTTACCCCTTACCCTTTACCCCTTTGTAACATTTACCTTTATGGCTCAATCAAAACATTTCTTGCAGTGATTACGGCAACTATACAATAATGCACAGTTTCAAATGGTTGCATTCAGACGACAAAAATATCAAAACACAGCACTTAGTTTATGATGAAATCTGTTTCAATTTTTTATAACACTGAAATCCTCACACCTATTTCCCATGTTTGTCAACTACAAGTTTATGCATACACTGTATACCTTTGAAATATTTTGAACTCTTTACATGATACCATTTTCACATAGTTGAAGTTTCCTTCACTTAGTTTAAATGAATAAATGTAACTTACAAACAATGTAACTTTTGGAATCATCGGTAAATTCATCAGCTGCTTTGCACGTAAAGTTGACATCTTTATTGACTGGTGGAGTATCAAGTGTTTCCATGTCACAAACTTGCACTTCACTGCATGGAGTCCAAGTATAGGAAAGAGGAAGATTTCCTTTTGCTTTACAGTTAAGGGTGACAATTTCCCCTACTGTGACAATGAACTTGTTCTCAGTATCAGCAATACTGACAGGAGCTGTAGGTCAAGTTAAGATGGTAAGCATGCAATGGATAAAGCTGTTATCAACATACCAGTAGGTCATGAAAGTGCAGTACTTCAAACAAGTAACTGAAATGCAAACTTCTGAAGACTAACACAGAATGAGAAAAATGTGAAATAGTGTTAGAAAAAATGTACATGGCCATTACGGTAACAAAACTTTTAAGAGATAACTGTGGCCTTTGCATCCCTACAGGGCATATGAAAATCAAGGGAGCATTGGGATGTTTGACTTTGTGGTTTTGGTAATTTTTTAGATTCGTTTTAAAAAACCTAAAAGTTTCTAGCCCTTGCCGTTCATTGCAGTTTGCGGATTTTCCTCTTTATTGCATTAATGGTTTTTGATTTTTTTAAAAAAATACGAACAGGTTTTCGGATTTGGTACCTGTTGTGGTTTTTGGTTTCCTATTTGGGTTCCAATTTTACTTTGATCTGAGCGACCGATTCGTCAGTTTGGACGGTTTTGCATGCGTTTTTCGGTTTTGATAGACTCATTGGGCGGTTTTGCAGTTTTTGATTATTCATTCTACAGTTTTGTGGTTTCTAATAGATGCCGGTTCTCAGAATCCTTCTGTAAGTAGATGGGAAAACAACTTGTTGACCATTTGTATGTTAATTTGAGCATTTCATTCATTACAATCAAGAATTGTTGGTACGCAGCCCACACAGACGCCCAAAGAACCAATATCCATTGTTCGTGTGGTCATACCTTTCAAAGATCAGGAATCAGCAAATTATGTTAAGAAAGAGCTCAAGAATCTTAGCATGAAGGTGCAGACAACTGTCCAGCCAGTATTTGTTAGCCGCAAAGTTGGCCAAGATCTTAAAGTACGAGAAATCAAGCCACAGATTGTCAACCAACAACGCGTCGTTTATCAATTTCAATGTGACCTGTGTGATGCGGGTTATGTGGGCTATACACGCGGACACTTACACACACGCGTGGATGGACATAAACGAAAGGCATCTTCAATATATAAACACTACCACGAACGGCACAGCGAAGTCCCGAAAGACCTACTGAAACGTTTTAGCATTCTGAAAAAGTGTAGTAACAAGTTCGATTGTTTGGTGAACGAAATGCTTTTCATCAGAGACTTAAAACCCACTCTGAACGTGCAAAGCGATTCAATTCGCGCAAAAGTATTTGTTTAATTAGCTCGTAACATATTTATGCTAATTTAGTGTTACACCTTGCCACAAACTTTATTTTTTATTTCTCCTTGACAATGGCGTCATGATGACACCGAAACGTCGGTTTTTATCGTTGGTTTTTGCTAGTCTCTACATTTCTAAATCTTTATTGATAAGAATTTTGTCGATCGAGAATTTTTTTGCCGATCGAGAATTTTTTTTGTTGATCGACAAATGTTTTGTCGATCCAGGATCTTTTGTCAATCGAGAAAGCGTATTCCGACGTGGCATAGGGTAAAATAGGACTGGACTGGACTGGACTGGACTATTTTTGGACCATTTTATAAGGGGGGAAGCACACCATTAGTAACCAGGGAGGGGTGGGTGCAGTCCATAAGTACTGAGGGAGGGGTAGGAGGCAGACTGTTATTACTCAGGGAGGGGCGGGAGGTGGTTGTAATTGTAAACACCACTGGTTAGTGCAGCTTTAACCCGATCGTACAAATGATTTTAATCGGTCTAAACCGGTTGCTACAATGATGGAATACGAGTGTTTTGATTTCCTGCCATTCGTTCTTGATGTTCAGGTCTAGATCTCCTCGAATTATTGCTTTGCCTCGATAGAATACAAGCAGGCGAAGCCTTTTGACATTTTTTACCGTTTTTTCTCAAGGCAGTGATTGATATCGCCGAGGGAGTTGAATTTTTGCATTCAAGGAATGTGGTACACCGCGAATGTCTATTTCGGTAGCTATATAACGAATGTCCCGCGCTCGACGTTGGACGTCTGCGCGTGAACCAATGTTGTCTTCGAAATGTCGAAAACAAATTTTTCGAGGTTTGCTTTTTCGAGGTCTACGTTTTCGAGGTCTGCAGTCTGCGGTCTGCGTTTCCGAGGTCTGGCGAGGTCTGTGTTTTCTACGACTGTACCAACAATAATTTTACATAGTAAACGTAACAAACGTTAAAATAACGATAGCGTTTGTGAATTCTACATGCGGCTAAATCAAGGGCTAAGGACCGGAAATTCCGTGTTCTCTTCTGATAACATCAGAAGATAGATAAATCTGGTAGTTACATACTGTTTACGCAAAGGAAGACTGATAGTGCACAAGTCGCCTCAAAAGGCACACGCATAACCTACGCCAGATTGGAAACTCAACAGTGGAGGACCGTAAACGCGATATTTTCAATAAACATGGTTCGTGCAACTTCAGACAAAAAAAAAATCAAGGACTTTCCAAGGACTTTTCAAGGACAAAAAATGTTTTGAAGGATTAAGTTTTATTCATACATCTAAACTCTTTGACCCCTTTTCATAACGAAAACACTCAACTTTGCATCACTTGACCATTTATGATTGAATACACATTTGCCCATCGCTCAATTAAACTGAAAACAAAGGGAAATGAAAAATTCATCGACCAAAACATAGCCAAACCACTACATGTTTACGTTGCCCCTTAAAACAAAAGCACGTGGCGGACTACCCCACATCGGAGGCCTTGCGCAGGAAATTGAGGCACAGATCCAACTTTGCTTCATGTGCCACTAACGTTTTATACCGACCATTTTCGCGTTTTGGTAGTTACTAGTGGACAAATTTTCCTTAGAAAAAGCGTTTAATTTATCAGAAAAGCGATGAGGCGCACAGAAGTTGCTAAATTTCAAGGACTTTTCATGACGTACTAAAGAAATCAAGTACTTTTCAAAGGACTTAACCAAATTCAAGGATTTTTCAAGACGACCGTTAAAATTCAAGACCTTTTCAAGATTGTACGAACCATGAATAAAAATTAAAGTCCGGGTTTACGTGGCAGTTTCGCTTTCGCATGAGAAAAAAATTTAAAGAAACGCCGCGGCCCAGCGCAAAAATTTTGATATACAAAAAGTCAGTAGAAAACCGATCAAAATAATTTACACGATCGAGTTAAAGCTCCATTAATCAGTAGTGTTTACAATTACAACCACCTCCCACCCTCCCTGAGTAATAACACTCTACCTCCTACCCTCTCTCAGTACTTATAGACTGCACCCAGCCCTCCCTGATTACTAATGGTGCGCCTCCCCCTCCTATAAAATGGTCCAAAAAATGGTCCAAAAAATTGGTCCAAAAAATTGGTCCAACAAATGGTCCAAAAAATAGTCCAGTCCAGTCCATATCTTATCCTATGCCTTCCGATGTCCGTCAGAAGGAGGTCATCTCCGGCCCATTTCCGATTGCGAAATCGAGCTCACCCGATGTTGTCTTTGTCTATTTAGCATTTTAGACCCGCAAGATGGAGTAAAACGAACACGTACTCTGTTTTCGGTCATGATTTTGCATTAGCGTAATAGATATTTTCTCTTATTTTTCTGTTGCCATATTACAGTTTATAAAATGTAATTGCTGACGTTTGAGTGACATGAAAACGAATTAGTCAGAAATTAATGGCACGTTGAAGAGGTTCGCGTGCCATCATGGTAGTTTCGGATTATTTAAGGGTTTCGCGATAAAATTAAGTAATTACAGGTCGGTCAGTCTAGATTTGACCACTTCCGTTTTTCTTTGGTGATGTAATTTTGTTCTATAACTCTCTGCAAAGTATCACTACATTCATCGATTTTTCTATGATTAGTAGTGTAACCAGGTTATATACCCTTTCCTCGAGGTTTCGTGTTCCTGCATTAGATGAGACATAGGTTTCCACATAATTTTGGCCACGTCTAAAGAGTGATCTTTTTCGTGGTTTTTCGTATCTGGCCTAGCACAAGCGCTTTTTGCAGAACACTGCAAAAAGACGTTCGAAAACCCTGCGAAAATGACGTTCGAAAATCCAGTGACAAATGACGTTTGAAAATCCAGTGCCACAAGAAGATGGGGTCATTGGTCATCAGTTAACTTTAGCGCAGATATATGGAATGGTTTAGACATCTCACTAAGAAATGCAAACTCACTGCCTGCCTTCAAACGTGGCCTGTCTAAATTTAATTTTGAATTTTAATTGTTGTGATTAGTATTTGTAATTAGTCTTAGATTTAGCTTTAGTTATTTGTTGCTCTTTGTAATTTATCTTTGTATTAGTATTTAACTTAAGAGGACCCTCCTGTAAACCACTCTTGTGACGTTGGCATCCTCATTAAAGATTATAATATAGATTATAGTATATAACCCTTCAGTTTCAGTGAATACATGCAATACATTGCAGATTCTATTAGGATGCGTATATCACAAAAATGCGGTCGGCACTTCGAGTTTTTCAGAGTGTTGACATAAATTGACATGTGGTCAACTACAGGCGTGAAATGTTGGAAAAACTTTAGAAGCGAGAAAAATCCACTTCGTATTTACGCGAGTGTGTTTTCTTTAGAAGAATTAATAGGGTATGAAATCTTTACGGATTGATTTGAAATTTGGTCCGAGGGCTCCTAATTATAAGATACCAATCTAAAAAAAACCGCGTGGGGCTTTACGTTTTTCGAAATTGATCTTCCGCAATCGTCTCCGACGTAACGCGTACCGGTAAAATTTTGATAACCGAACTTGACAGAAAGATCGCAAAGCAACCAATAGGAACATCGAAAAAGCCCCACACGGTTTTGGAGACCTACCCCTTAAGATTGAAATTGTGCAGAAGTTTCACTTGTGCGGGTAGATTTGATACCCGATTAATTCGCTCAAAGAAACATCATCCGTTTCGACTGGGTGTTACGAAAACTAAGACCTAAGACCTAAGACCCCGAAAACTAAGATCCCAATGTAACGTGTAACATGGTATGGTACGTGCAACTTGCAACAAATTTTGTTGCGAGACAAGTTGCAGGAAAAATTGTTACGTGTAACAGCAGCTTAACGACAGAAT